AACTTTTGCATAACTCAATAACTTAGTTTGGGGAAAGTGCTGGGTTGTTTTCGAGTTTCACCTATTTCATTTCCTCACTGTGTAGGCAGGCTCTTCACCAAATGTCAAATTTTCTTTTTTTTATTGTTAGCAATAGCTGATGGTTCCACACTTTTAAATACAACTGTATATCCAGTAACCTCAATTTATCAGTCACTTAAATTCTAGCAAATATTAGAAAACTGTTTAACTGCTGAGTACATTAGCTCCACCTAGTCATCTTCTTTCTGTACTTTCAGAGTTCTTTTTGGTGTTTACTTTCTTGCATATTCTTTCTATACTTCAACACTTGAGTTTTTCTTTTTCCTTAAGGATGTCTATCCCTATTAGAAAATTGTGAAATTATTGTCTCTTTTGCCTATATTTGTATTGTATGAAGAATGTGCTTGAAGATATAAAAGTACCATTCTTAAATCCCTTTAATCTGTATCCAAACAGAATTTCCCACTAGAAAATGTTTTCCTTTAAAGTATTTTAATATACTATTCTGTGATGTGTGAATGAATGTCTTAAGTTTTATTTCTAGAAAAGAAACTTTGAATTGGATTTCCCAGAAGCAGTTAACCTCAAACCTAATGAAACCCTAAATAAAAATAATTTAGCCTTTCTTTTGTTTTTTAGTAGTACTGAGGATTGAACTCAGGACCTTGTGCATGCTAGGCAAGCACTTTCTCATTAGCTACATCCCTAGCCCCTGCCTTTATTTTGTGTCATTATCATTTTAACACTTCCACTTTAAATTGTAAAAACAGTATAACCACATTGTAGAAATTATGGGAAAAAGATTATTGTATCATCTTAAAGAACCTATTCTTTGGTGATTAGGGAATCCTTGTCAACAGTAGTTTTGCCCCAGTCATAACTGGTGAAAATATAGATTTATAGATGAACTGGTTATCAGTTTATTACCAGTTAACCCCTGATTCACCATTCATTATATTCTCAGCAAAAATGGATCTTTAAATATTTTCCTTGAAAGATAGTGGGATATAAACATTACTAGTGAAGGGCACCAAAGTGATATTGTAAGAAGAAAGAGTTTTCTTTCCTGGTCTGGTGTTCTAGTTGGTAGTGTTTGAGGTGCTGGTTCTTGAAGTACAATTCTCTTCCTAACTCATAGTACTGACCTTTATCCCTTCGATCATTCTTGGTTTACATTGTTTACAAAGCTGCCCCTACTTTTTTCTGGATGCCTGTTGCATAAAGTATTGTTTTCCATCCTTTGACTTTCAGCCTATGAATTTCCTTTTGTGGTAGATGGGTTTCTTGTATAGAGCATATGATCAGATTTTGTTTCTTGATCCCTTCTTTCAGTGTGTTTCTTCTAAATGATGAAATGAAGTCATTTACATTAATATAACTGATACATATTGGTTTATTTTTGACATGTTATCTTTCTGCTGTCGATTTTTTACCTTTCCCCTCTGCTTAATTGTTTTCCCTGATGGGTGGTTTCTTTCTGCTATTGTTCTTGAAATTGTAGTCATTTTTATGCCTATCTAGAATATCTTTCAGTATTCTCTGTAGAGTTGGTTTGGTGGTCACGAATTCTTTCAGTTGTTCTTTGTCATGGAAGTATCTTGTTTCTCCCTTAATTTTGAAAGATAGTTTTACAGGGTATATCAATCTGGGTTGGAAGTTGTTTTCTTTCAAGACTTGAAATACTTCACTCCAAGCTCTTCTTGACTTCACCTGATGGTTTGTGTTAAGTCTGTTGTGATTCTAATGGGTTTTCCTTTATAGGTGATCAGTTTTGTTTCTCTAACAGCTTTTAATATTCTGGTCTTATGCTGAATTTCTGAGATCTCAATTATTATATGTCGGTGTGTAGAGTTATTTTGTTTATGGCCATTGGAGTTCTATATACTTATCTATATGTCAGTTTCTTTTCCCATGCTTGGGAAATTTTTGCTAATACTTCTGTAAATAGTCTTTTGTATCATTTGCATTGACTCTTTTTTCGTTTATACCTGTCAGTCATATTGTTTTTCTTTACAACATCTTGAAACTGTTGAATTGCTATTTCCTGGTTCCTTGTTATTTTAAAAAGATCTTTCCTTTCCTGATCGTAGCTGCAATCTTGTCTTCAAGGTCTGAAAGTGTGTCTTTACATTTGTTCAAGCAGTTTTGCCAGCTTTCGATGGAATTTTTAATTTCCTAGGTCTCTCTTTGAATCTGTTTCATGTAAGCTAATTGTTTCCTATAGTATTCATTCAAGGTTTCCATCATTTTCCAATGCTCCTCTATTTTTTTCAACTCTGTCTTCTTTAGTTATGCCCAACATTTCTTTCATTATGCTTATCATTTCTTGTTTCACCTGGGAGATTACTTATGATTTGATTTCCTTTACAGCTTCATGGAGTTGTTTCTTTACTTCAGTTGTTATCATTTCAGAAATTTCAGTTATGTGATTTATCCTTTCTTCTATGTCCATGTCTTTTGGACATGTTTGGCATAGGCTAGAGGTTTCAGATTACATTTTGTTCCTTCATTTTGTCATTTTCATGTATTTCCCTGGGGCAGCCAAATACAAAGTCCCAGTTGCTTCCTGATTTGGTGATGGCTGCCTATC